CCGGGTTGGATACCTCTTCTCATACATGTAATGTTACAAAAAAATTGGCCACCTCCATGGGAAAGATATTCACGGAATCTCAAGACGTTCCGGGATTTATTGCAAACAGATTATTAATGCCATATATTAATGAAGCAGTTATTGCCTTGGAACAAGGTATCGCTTCACGTGATGATATCGATACAACAATGAAATTAGGTACAAACGTTCCAATGGGACCATTAACTTTGGCCGACCATATTGGTTTAGACACTTGTTTAGCTATAATGAAAGTTTTGCATAAAGAGATTGGAGATACTAAATATAGACCCGCTGTATTGTTACAAAAATATGTTGATGCGGGTCGGTTAGGAAAAAAATCTGGAAAAGGTTTTTATGAATATTAACTAGTTGAGGTGATTAATCATCAAATGTTATTGTCTCTTAATGCGTAAAATTTATTAAATTATATATATTTTGTGTTGATTTTTAGTATAATTATATTTCTATTTTTCCTTTCTGTTCTAAATTAAATATGATATCCTTCTCTTCCTATAGCAGTCCTGATATTTACAAAGGTTTCACCATTGCTAGTTTAGAATTTCTTGTTCACACTTGCAAATTCCTGCCCGTCTTGCGTGGGCAATTATTGGTGCATAAAAGGTCAGGGTCTTACGCTATGAGAGACCATAATAGACCTTGGTGATAAAGGGTTTATCACAGGTTTTTCTTTTGTAGAAATGTCCCGAATACGCGCCCTTAAAGAATCTTCTCTTTAATCCATTTCAACTTCAACAGTACTATGAAGGAGCCAGTTGCTATTTACATAAAGATTAAGAAAGTTTCAAGTTAGTATTGCATAAACTTGAAAATAAAAAACATCCCAAAACGATCTTCAGATTCTGTCATACTTTTACTCTCCTGTCTACCTTACATTAATTCATCGATACAAATTACAATGGCACAACAAGGTCAACAACCCAACGTCCAAAATTTAGCTAATGCTTTTCAAACATTAGCACAAGAAATTGCAAACCTTCCCAATCTGCCCGTAATTAACATCGCACAACAACTACAGCAATTACAACAAATTATGATTAATCGTATGTATATTAATTTGAACGAGCCTATATTCGGTTTTATCATTTTCTCTTTTACTTCATTAGAAATGTTCCTAAATATTTCTTTTATTTTTAGAGGAACAAAGATCACAGGTGCGAATTAGTAATTCAACCATCCGTGATGACCATGCTGACATTGAACCATTATTAACAGACGCAGGAGCCGTTCCACCTAACTTTCCGCAGAACTTTGAAGATATCAAGAACGCTAGGGCTAACCGAATTGATGGATTGCTCACC